TTTGTCGTGGTTGGGAATCGAACCCACGACCTCTAGCTTAGCAGTCAGTATTACTATAGATTTCTTTTTTTGTTAAAGATGGCACAGACTGGCATACGACGAGACCCTGTGGCAGCGACTAGACCTGGGCAGCAAGACCTTGGCTAAAGATGCTTTAGGACGGATCCTGGCCAGGAAACCTGTTATTGTCAGACTTGCTAGCTCTGAGGTAGGTATTTATAAAGCCGCCTGAATAGAGAATGTACCTGAACGTGGTGGTGGGAGGGGTCCGTATGTCTTAATAACAGCAGTTCCCAGATCCCTTCTATTACAAGCGCAGAGTGGCTCACCGTGTGGTTTTAGTCGGTGCGATTCCGACACACCACCCCGCCGTAAACCCCGGTGGGGTGACGGCCCGAAGGGGTTACAACACGTAAAAAAAAGTATTTATAAAGCATTTTTGAAACAAAGTTTCTTATCGCGCATTACAGCTCTGAGCGGATGGGATCGAGATTTAAAAAGGTGTAACAAGACTTTCTGCCGACACTTTTTTGCTATAGTTACATCCGTGTATGAACTATATACATCGCCGCGCACAAATCTCCCGAAGACTCGACGGCGGAGAGGCCTATGTCCAGTAGTGGACTAATAAAGGCTGTTGATGATGATGATTATAAGACTATAACATTGAATTAACTGTTTGAATTTAAAATAATTCAAAGGAGTAGGACACAGAAAAAAATATTCATTTATCTATGGTCAGCGCCATGTTATCCATAAGCAAATAAAATAAGTTTTGTGTATCGAACAAATAGTTTTTTGTTCCCCCTAAAATAAATGTTTCGAATATTGATTATGAAAGTTCGAAACATTTATTATAGGGGAAAAAAACTATTTGTGCGCCAGGGACTTCCTTTCTAGGGTATACCTGGTTCTCCGGCTATTAGTACCCGAGACGGCGTGCGGTTTTAGTCGGTTCGAGTCCGACATGCCACGGATAGGTGGTATCCGAGGGGAATCCCTCACGGAAAAAAAAAACTATTTGTGCGATACACAAAATTTCTCTTCGGCTTTTTGTTATTCACTCAATAATCCCAGATTAGGCATTCAAATTATCATTTATTTATTTTATACATCATAAATATATTTTAACATAAAGTTTTCAATTTAACTCTATTTACTTGGTATTTTATAATAGAAAATTATAATTACTGTATAGCAAACGTGCGAAAGGAACTTTGTTCCGACCGGGGGTCCATAGACCCCTCACCCCGTTTTTGACGTGACAACGTCTTATAATTCGATGGAGCCGGCTGCACGCACGAAAAAACATGACTCATGCGGCGTTACCTCGCTCTGAGGCGTTCCATTTTAGGCGTGAAGTGCAAGCGAGAGCGCGGAACGAGTGACAAAGAGGCACAATCGGCCTCCGCGTTCGGCAGCGTTCGACATCTGTCTCTCTCCTACTTGAGTGAGCGATGCGTCCGCGTGGACAGCTGCTACTCGTATACAATAATACATTTTTGAAAAATGCAACCATTCCATCAGTATTTTCTTATGACGTTGTCACGTTCAACTATCGTCAGTAAACCGACTTTACAGACAACCGATTTTTTATTTCATAGTATAAACCCCTCTAGCTAAGTTAAATATTTGTGTTAGGATTGGGTTTATTTTAATAGTATTCTGGGGTTAAAGTGCCTAAAATAAAAGGGAAACATAACATCTGTTTCTCTGTCCAGACTCTTACATTCAGAAAAGGTATTATTCCCCAAGGGAGATTAAGAGTAACTGAAAATAAGTAATAATAAACCAATGAGTATGGCGTAGTGGTTTAAGCGGTCGCCACGCTGCTTCCTACTACGCCGAGTGTTGTGGGTTCGAACCCCACATGGGACGACACTTTGTGTGATCCACAGATAGTTGTTCTGAGTCTGGGTGTTCTTTGTCCGTTTCATGTATGTTTGTAAAGTCCCCCGTTACACAGGATATTTTTTTTTTTTAAATGGGACTAATCCCACCCACACGCCCACCACTGTAACTCCTGTACACCAGGATCCACAGCAGTGACCCACGAACACACCGAGTTATGACACTCGGGAAGTCCCAGGAAGAAATTAAACTGTCTTGGAACCCGCAACGAAATTAATCAGAAGAAAATTGGAGGAGTTGGAAATACAGTAAATCCACTTCCCTCCTTAGCAAAGCGGGAGACAAAATGAAGTAAAATAGGCATACACCCTTTTAAACAGGGAAGCACCACGGCCACAAATATTACGGGTCCTACGTGAGCTATGTTTGATTTCTATAATATGTATGGCAGAATCGCCTAAACGCACGGAAATTCACCCTAGTTGACACAAGATCCCCTAGTTACACAGGATATATTCCTAATGCGGGCGTTGTCTTTTAAAAAGATAATAAAAAAGGAAACTTCTCTATTTCCTTCTCATTCAGATAGGAGAGTGGCACCCCACCACATTACCGGAGCCGTCCCGCATCCAGTACTTAGACCTGAGCATGGCCTCCGTGGATCCACAAACCTTGGACAATCTACTCCAATCGTGTCCTCACCTGTGCAAGCTCAGCGTCGAGAGCGTCCAGTTGTCTGACAACACTTGTGAATTAATCGGTAATTATCTATAATTATAAGAATTAACCAACTTGAATTACTTCTGCACAATATGCAGACCAGTGTTGGTTTCCCCTGTAGAGTTGAGGGGGTGTTTGTTCAACCAGAGTTGTGGAGGGGTGTGTGTGTGTGTCCCAAAGTTGGGAGGGTGTTAGTCGCCCTCTAGAGTTGAGGGGGGGGGGGTGACCCTTCTGCTCGTTAGCTACCTTTATAATCCATCAGATCAGGGTCATGATGTGGCAAAAGCCGTACAGTTCGAGACTAGTTTCCATTATCATTATCCACTGCTTCGGTGGTGCAGTGGCTGTGCTGAGGTCGCGGGTTCGATTCCCGGGTCGGACCAAATGTTCTGCTGATCTGTAAATATTTGTTTCGGAGTTTAAGTGTTTACTTAGCATAATATGTATCTATTTACAAAAAATATATATTATATCAGTTACTCTAGCTTTCATAGTACAAGTTCTGCTTAGTTTGAAACTAGATGGCGTTGTGTGTCATATTTTCGAAATATTTATTTTATTTATTTATTTATTTATTCGGGGGCTTAACAAGGATCCTTAAACAAAGGAAGCGACTTGTCGGTACCATAAGTCCCACGACAGCTCGCTTCTAACCATTTTCGGACCCCTGTGGACCCCATCTTTATTTCCATATCTAGAATAATACATTTTGTTTTTAGGTAAATGCAGTAAATTAGAAACTTTGAATCTCACAATGGCGCAAGGTATCACTGCTGAAGGGCTGAGTGCAATATTAACAGGATGTCCTGGGTAAGTCACCCTTGAGGTCTGTGTGGTGACGGATTAAGAATACGGAGTGTCACCACCCCTATTCATCCCGTGGGTGTCGTAAGAGACGACTAAGGGAGCAAACTACGCAGGACAACAGCACTGTGAAGAGAAGGAAAACTTGACACATACCCTATATCAACCCGTCTGGCCAGCGTGGTATAGTACCCCAAAACCTCCTTACTAAGGAGAGGCCTATGTCCAGCAGTGGACTAATATAGGCTGTCGATGATGATGAAGACCATTGAGGTTTCAAACAAACATACCGTCAGTAAAGTTCTAAGAGTTTTAATGGCCGAATTTAAAAATCGCTGCCTTAGTAGTGTAGTACGGTACGCGACTGCAGTCCCTGAGGTCTCGGGTTCGATTTCCAGACCGGGCAAAATGTTATAGGGTTTTTTGAATAACCGAATATTAGGTTAGGTGTCGTATTTTCTTGTTTTGTATAATCCTTTAGAATCTAATTTATAACAATCAAATTATTTATAGCTGTGTAATATATGGTTATTTCAGATTGCAATCTCTTAACATATCTTGGTGTAACCTGGACGAGGCCGCATTGAATGTGCTCGTGGCCAAACTACCGCAGAAATTGCAGCGTTTAAACATCAGTGGTACTAGAATAATGTCTGATGCGAGTAAGTATTTTTATTTTAAAATGGTAGTGGAATTTGAAAGGTTCGATTCCAGGAACAAAATTAGATGACCGAATGGCGTAGTGGTCTATGTAACGGACTGCTATTCCAAAGGTTGCGGGTTCGATTCCCGCTCAAGTCAAACATTTCTGTGCATGAACATTTAATGTTTGATTTGGTCTGGGTGTCTCTATGTATAATAAGTATGTATTTGCAAAAAAAATATAAATGTATTTATATCAGTTGTCTAGTACCCATAGTACAAGCTCTGCTTAGTTTGGGACTAGATGGCGTTGTGTGAATGTGGTAAAAAAAAAAAATTATGAGGTTTTTTCCTAGAGAAAAAAATAGCTTAAGTTACTCCTTATACAGACAGCTGATAGTAAAATATTATCAAAATCGGTCTAGCTGTTTGCTGTGACCCAGACAGACAGACAAAAATATTTAAACTTGTTTTTAGGCATAGGTATTGTGAAAATAAAAAAAAAAACTTATTATTTTGACATTACAAACAGACACTTCAATTTTATTTATTTGTGTAGAAGACAACTCCAGCAATTGGAATATATCCTGTGTCGCGGGGGACTTTACAAACATACATGAAACGGACACAAAGAATACCTAGGCCCGTATTTTAAAAGACGTCTCAAGTGTCGGTTGAACTCTGATTGCCTGAAACTAGTTTTAAGTGCAGATCAAATCTTAAGTATCGATCTTATTATAGAACGCGTTTTAAGTTTTACTCAGTTGAAACTAGTTTCAAGTATTGATTTGAACTTACAGTCTGTTCTCAATTACGTTTCCGCGTGATTGACACTATTATTCCACATTACGCAGCTAATTATTTAAAAAAATAATTTTCTTTTACAAAAATAATTTCTGTGAATTTGTATATAATATACTATTGCCTAGTGTAGCAATGTTAACATATTAACAAGGTTGTTGTTCGTTCAAAATTAAGTATAATAAATATTAAAATAAAAATGACTAGCTGTATGAATAGGCTATAACGGAACGTTCAAGTTATTTATCAACACTTGTCATGTTGAAATGTCAAACGATGTTTTTATTTGATATTTCTAAAATTTAAATTACTATACTTTTAACATAAACCAAAAGGTTGTGGTAATTTAAACTGGTATTGTGTGTGTAAAATGTGAATTTTGGTGAATTTCATATCAATTAAGGTAAATGAAAGTGAAATTGATGATAGTATGCCAAGTAATTCTTTCGTAAATAAAGTAAAGTAAATCTTTCGTAATTATTCAAAAAGAAATCATCGTAAAACACATTCATTTCGTCTAAATGCCCTAGAAATCACCGCTTGAGACTAGTTTCAGCTTGTCTCACGTAAACAAAGATCACAGCTGTCAAAATCTATACCTGAGTAATGATTTCGACATAAACATCGTTCTAAAATAAGCTATCACTCACTTGAGTATGGATCGGTGAATCTCGTTTTAAGTGACGTTCAATAATAAAATCTCTACTTAAAATTAGTTTTAAGACTAGATTCACGACTGAGACACCTTTTAAAATACGGGCCCTAGACTCAGAACAACGGTTTCTGGATCTCATAGTGTTGTCCCATGTGGGGATCGAATCCACAACATTCAGAGCATTAGTAAAGTGACCGCTTAAATCACTACGGCATCCGTGCAGCCTTGTGTTTGACTATTTATGATAAGTTGTATAATTTGCGGAAATTACGTCATTTTGTTCGATAAATAAGTTTATAAAATAATAATTATCGCACACGTTTTGAATTTCGCTAGTTTGAATGAATGATTTTCCGTGTGGTGACGGATTAAGAATACAGAGTGTGTAGCCGCTTTTCCTCTCTGGCGGACTACTCACCGGCTGACCCAGTGGAGAGATTCAAGAGATTACCTCAGGGCGCCTTGTATGAGAATAGAAGTGTGTGCGTGTGGGAAACCTATGGGACTCTTTAGAGGAAAACAACTTACACCTCAGTTATACATACATGTATATTTCAAAGAAAAAGTAGATCAAATTAAACTAATTAAACAGTGTGGGTACAAGAAAAAGAAAAAAAAACCGCAGCGGTGCGCGTTAGAGCCGAGCTGATGGTGCTCGGTGTCTCCTCGTCGTCCCTCCAGGAGGTTACTTCCTCTTCCGCCCGAGTCGGCTATTTATATTAGATATGGATAAAAGTTTAACAATTTGCAATTATAAGTTTAAGTACGTAACTCTTGGGTACGGCTGTCCGCTTGCGTCGTGAGCCGCGCAATCACCAGCTTTGCCAGAGGGTACCGAGAAACTTGAGTCTGTACCAGAAGGCCACAAAAGAGCAAGCACGCCGTCTAAGACTGACCGTCTTGACCCCGAAATCTGGGACCCTACGAATGGATTAGCACTCATATAAATTAAACAGGTTCCAGAAACAAATAGGTTTAAGAAGAATTGAGAGAATACTTACCACATTAGTGGGTAGATTATAACAGACTACATATTACGAAATTCAAATTACACGACAATCAAAACACTATTTAAGGTTGGAAGACACGAGATAGCAGAGTGTCTCCCGTGGCAGAAAGCCGGACTTATATATCCTCGGTTAAGGAATCTTCCAGAAGTTAACCCCTCCTCATCATTTCACTTTGACATTTACATTGAGAAAGAAAACAACGCTAACAAAATCAAAAGTAACTTGCTTTCCACCATAGCTGAACACTCCCAATACCTATGCAATTTGTCATGACAGATTACCAGAACAGATTAAAAAGTAAGTCTTTTTAATTAAACTATCATGTCTCAAACAAACGCCATCTAGTGGTCCGAAAGTGAACAAAGGAGATCAATACCGTAGCTACAAACTACTTTAGATAAATCAACAACAAAGCGATGCGGCCAAACAGGTGCCGCTTTTATCAATATCGTACGTATCACAAATGCACAAAAAAAAAATAACTGTTACAGTGTCACCACCCCTATTCATCCCGTGGGTGTCGTAAGAGCCGACTAAGGGAGAAAACTACGCAGAACAACCGCACTGCAGAAAGAAGGAAAACTTGACACAAACCCTTTTTTTTTTTTTTTTTTTAACGTGTGGAAATCCCCTCGGACCGTCACCCCACCGGGGTTTGCGGCGGGGTGGTGTGTCGGACTCGGACCGACTAAAACCACACGGTGTGCCACTCTGCGCCCGTAATAGGAGGGATCCGGGAACAGCTGTTATTAAGACATCCACTCCGATGACTGCAGTGAGGGCCCGGCGCTGCGCCGCCCATGCGGGGCAGACCGCCAGCGTGTGCTGGGCCGAGTCCTCACTGCAGTCGCAGTGGTGGCAGGCGGGACTCAGTTCCCTCCTAGCGACCGAGTGCAGGTACTTTCCGAAGCAACCGTGCCCGGAAAGCACCTGCGTCAGCCGGAAGGTAAGGGTCCCGTGCTGCCGCCCTGCCCACTCGGCGATGACCGGCTGGAGAGCCTCCACGGCGGCGAAATCCGCTCTCCGCCCGGGAGTCAGCCACTCGCCGATAAACTTCGGCGAGCACTTCCGCCTCCAAATCCTACGGGGGAGTTCCGGCCAACGCGCATGCCACCTCCGTCAAAACGGTGGGTAACCGCGTCTGGCTCTGACCGCCATTACCCTCTGAGGGCGCCAGAGGCGTGCCCTATTCTGGGCGGTCAGAGCCGCCGCCCACACCGGTGCACCGTATAGTGCAATTGACCGGACAACCCCCGTGTACAGCCGTCTTGTCGCGACGCTGGGTCCACCCAAATTGGGCAAAAGTCGCCCTAGGGCAGACGCAGCGCCGACCAGCTTTGGAGTAAGCTGTCGGAAGTGCCACCTCCCGTCGAGGATCAGGCCCAGATATTTCATCTGGGCCCGAACCGGTACGAGGACCGATTTGACCACGATTGAGGCGCCAGGGGGTGGACCACGACGGGGCCCATGAAATAACAGGGCCTCCGTCTTATCTAGGGCCACCCGTAATCCCAGCGCCTCTATGCGCCCGACCACCAGGGAGACTCCCCTTGTGGCCAGGCGCGCCGCCTCTTGGAAGTTCGCCCCCCGGGCTGTCACCAGAGTGTCATCTGCGTAACAAATTACACCTGGGGGAAATCGGCTCGAAGGGCCCAGTCGTACCCTATGTTCCACAAGAGGGGTCCAAGAACAGACCCCTGTGGAACACCGCACGACATGGGCCGACACCTCAAATTACCCTCTCGGTCCTCGTACACGACGGTACGCTCCTCTAAATTGTCTGCCACTAGCCGCCTCAGGTACTTTGGCACCCCATGATAGTGGAGTGCTTCCCTGATGCAGCTGAATGGCAGACTATTGAATGCGTTGGCGATGTCCAATGACACCGCCAACAGCACGCCGCCACAGCTCACGGCCTCTTCGGTCACGGCCCTCAGGCGCAACACAGCGTCGACTGTCGAACGCCCCGCCCGAAAACCAAATTGGGCGTCCGACAGATCGGGGCCCACCTCGTAGAGGTGCCGGACGATGCGGGCAAAGAGAACCCTCTCAAACAATTTACCCGCCTCGTCCAGCAGCACGATGGGCCTGTAGGCCGCGACCGAATCGGCAGGCCGTCCCGGCTTCCTTAATAGGACCAGCTTCCCGCTCTTCCAGCACTCAGGGAAACGTCCCGACTCCAAGCTAGCGTCGAACACCTCCCCGAGGCGGTCTGCCATGTGGTTGAGGGCTAGGGCCAGCACTCGGGCTGGTACCCCCTCTGACCCAGGGGCGGTGTTCTTGGAACGGATCCGTAGAACAGCCGCCCCTACCTCCGAATCCCGGACGGGCGGAACATTATCCTCCCCGTGGTCTCCGGCCCAGGAGGCCATCGCCGGGGGAGTGTGTTCCGCTCGTTGCGGGAAAAGGCCTTCAACCACTTCTCGCAGGAAGCTGGGCTGGAGAGTCTCCGTTAGGGGGAGGGCCCGACGCGTGGAGCTTTTGTCGCGCCGCGCGGTAAGGGCGACCCCAGGGGTCACGATTAAGACCCTCCAGCATCTCCTCTCTCTTTTCTTCTTTGGCGCGGCTAATGGCCAGCTTCAGAGTTTTCCGCGCCTGTCGGTACTCCTCATGAAGCCGGTCCTCCTCACCGTCTCCACGGTGACGCCGCCGACTGCGCGTGTAGGACCTCCGGGCACGTGTACAGGCCGCACGGAGGTCCGCCAGCTCCTGGGACCACCAGTAGACCTCCTTCCTTGGAGGCCGACGACCTCGAATGCGGGGCATGGCCGCATCGCAGATATGCGTAATCGCATCGCGAAAGCGACCAGGCCCCACGTCGACCTCCTCGGTCGGAGCCTGAGGAGACAGCCAGACGAGTGAATTATGGCTGCCTTCTCTAGTAGGTCCCGGTTCAGTCTGGCAACAGCCCACCGCGGAAAGCGGGATAAACGCCGCGCCACGTGACCCCTACTGGAGTCCTGGGTCCGGGAGAGCTCAAATCGGATATAAAGATGATCCGAGAGCGTCTCAACCTCTTCCAGGACACGCCAGTTCCTTACTCGTGCGGCGAGGGCAGGGGTAGCGAACGAAAGGTCCACTATCGACCCCCCCTGTTTTCGCACGCACGTGTTGGTGGAGCCTCTGTTGAGAAGACAGAGGCCCACCGAGGCCGCCAACTCCTCTGCGGCCTCTTGCGCCCGTCCTTTTTTTTTTTTTTACGTATGGAAATCCCCTCGGACCGTCACCCCGCCGGGGCTCTCGTTCGGCGGGGCGGTGTGTCGGACTCGAACCGACTAAAACCACACGGTGTGCCCTCTTTGCGCTTCTAGTTTAGGAGGGGTCCAGGTAGTTATCGCCTTCTGGACCCCTCCCAGCGCCGGCCCGCTCCTGGTGCGGGCTCCGTCTCCAGGACCTCTCTTTTTAGGCGACGTCCAGCACACGCGGACGCCGCCCCCTCGCGGCTGGCCAAACTAATGCGGGTGGAGGGGAGAACCCATCCCGTCCACCCGCGGCCACACTCAGGGCGGCATGAGGCGCTGGTACGCGCGCCTCCGCCGCCCGGTTCGCCGGCGGCGGATCGGGTCCGAGTGGAGGTCGTCCTCCCGGGCCTTCTCCGCCGCCTCCTTCTGCGAGATTACCTCCTCGCAGAAGGTTGCGACCGCGGTAAAACAACTGTCGCTACCGGCCATGGAGCGAATGAAGTCCCCCAGCACAAGGATGTGCCCAGACGCTAGTCGCCGTATCGAGGTCTCCAAGCTGGTTAGGAAAACCTCGAAGTCGCTCAAACTCCGGTTGGGCGAGAAATTAACCATACCATATATGGATATGGTGATCCCCCCCCCACTCGGCGGCAACATATCCAGTGCCCTTGTCTCTTAGCGACAAGGGCGGGGAATGATCCGCCGTGGAACCGACGACTGCCACCGAGCCGTCCCAGTCACCCATCCAGTTTGGACGGGGAGGGACAAAATAGGGCTCCGCGACCACGGCAACACCTATCGACCACTGTGCCATGGTTTGCAGGAAGAGATTCAGTCCGCCGCAGTCAAAGCAGCTATCGCACTTGACGCGCGTGTGTCCCGATGCTAGGCATTTGTAGCACCTCATCGGTCTCGCCGCCAGGACTGTGATCTTGGCGCTCACGAAACCGATGAGCAGCCTGCCGGCGTCGGCCAATACTTTGGCCGACTCTACGGGACAGCTGACCCACACGGCGTCAAGCCCCCTGGACCGGGGCGGATGGTGCCGACCCTGACGTTGTCCGCGCTGCACCCCGTCTTCTCCCGGATTACAGCGCGGACATCTTCGGCCGTCACAGAGTCGTCCAGGCCCGAAATGCGCAGCTCCGCGCACTTGGTAGGCCTGGCGATACCGTCTGGCCAGCGTGGTATAGTAGGCCAAAACCTCTTTTCTAAGGAGAAGCTTATGTCTAGCAGTGGACTAGTAAAGGCTGTTGATATTGATGTCATCATCATCATCAACAGCCTTTAACAGATGTTGATGTGAATGAAATTAATTAATGTGGGTGATTTTAATTTTATGAATTAAATGAATTTCTGTCAGTAGTAAGTAAGTACTTTTCAATCTACCTTCGTATGTGTGTCATGGTTTTGAGTGACGTTCCATACAGATATTTGTATACATGAATTTCTCTAATATCACTCGACATTTCTTGAAGCAGCGGTAGCCTAGTGGTTAAGAATTTGGTCTAGGTATCAAGAGGTCGTGGGTTCGAATCCTGACCAGTACACTTCTAACACAAGCAATTTAGCTTATTTATGAGGGTTTAACGAGAATATTAATAATTTCAGTTGCTAGTAAGCCTTTAAGAGAACAAGAAAACATTTTCTTTTCACGCACTCTTTCGTTTGAAGCGTCTGCTTTACGCCAACTTAGAGATCTAATAATTTTATGAAGCGATAGCTATCGCTGTCACGTGTCACGTCGACTCGACCATTCCTTTGCACTCATCAACAAGAAGTAGCATATAAAGTAGTGATATGTGCCGCAGCGGTGGAGGGCGTGTGCGCGCGCTGCCCGCGGCTGGTGGAGCTGGACGTGTCGGACTGCGGCCGCCTCACGGCGCGCTGCGCGGCGGCGCTGGGCGCGCTCGCCCGCCTCGAGCACCTCGCCACCAGCCGCTGCTACATGCTGCCGCCCCACGCGCTCTAGTACGTGCCGCCCCCACCCCCACGCACTGTCAATACAGTGTCACCCTATACCGACCCGTCTGGCCAGCGTGATATAGTAGGCGAAAACCTCCTGTCTGAGAAGAAGCCTATGTCCAGCGGTGGACTGTTAAAGATGATGATGATCCCTTTTTTACCATTTCACGAGTCAAATTTCCAAAAACCCTTTTTTAGCTAAATTTCAAATTCCTACCGTTTTCCGCTCTAACGTTAATGAATCATTTAAAACACTAATTTCACATGCATAGACTACCTGACTCGCGCAATTCATCAGCACCTCTAAAATACCTTATTGTTGCATATTTTTCATTGATAATGCGCTCCCATTGACCAAAACGTAATGTTACATAGCCGTCTTCCCCGATAAATGAATATCTAACACTAAAAGAATTTAATTCAAATCAATACTTTCCGAGGTTAGCACGTTCAAGCAAACTTCTCAATTTCATAATATTAGTATACAGGGTGTAAGGGACGTCGTAACGAATACTGTAATAGTGTATTCAGACCATCATTCTGAGTCGAAAATCGTTGAAATTTTCCTTGTTATTTGGCTAGAAATAATATCACAATGAGTAAACAGAACATGTTATAATACCGCATACGATCAAAAACTGCAATGTTATTGATCAAACAGCCAAAGCGCAGGGTCACGCCCCGGTCGCCAACATGTGTTAGTGTGCGTAAACTGTTAGCACAGAATACAAAAGTAGTTGTTACCTTTGTGCGATACCACCAGAGAATGCTGATTGCATAAAAAGTTAAATTTTACGGCTGAAAATTCCAACGATTTTCGACTCAGAATGATGGTCTCAACACACTATTACAGTATTCGTTACGATGTCCCTTACACCCTGTATACTAATGATGCCTTTGTGAGAATTAAATATTCCATCTCTTGATAAACAGTGAAAACAAATAAATATGTATTCCCCTACAGCAAACTCGGCAGTACCCCGTCGCTACAGTATTTGGACGTTTGGGGGATGCTACAGACCCAGGCCCTCTCTGCACTCCGTACCGCCCTACCTCACGTACAATTAAACCAGTTCATGTTTAGGTAAGTAAACCACCAACTGACGTAGGGGTTATCAAATGGACTGCTACGACAAAGGTCGTGGGTTCGATTCCCGCTCAAGTCAAACATTATTTAGATTGGCGTGTTGGTCTAGTGGTTAGTGACCCTGACTGCCAAACCGGAGGTCGTGGGTTCGATTCTCACCCAGAACAAATATTGTGTGATGAGCACGGTCATTTATTCTGTATCTGTGTGTAATTTATCTATAATATGTATGTATTTAGTAATATATAAGTATGTTTATCAGCGGTCTGGTTACCGTAGTACAGGTGCTGACTAGTTTGGACTTGGACTAGACGGCGTTGTGTGCCAGATGTCCAAAATATTATTATAATTCTCTAAACATGTATATAAATTACATTTTTAAATATATTTATGTACAAAAAAACGCACAATACCCATCGGTATCGGATACAGGGACCAAGATAGCGGTGGTAAGGACTCCAGCGACAGAAACCTCCTCACTATACGTACAAGAAGAACTGCTTTCTGCATCAGGCCCTTAATCCTTATTATTCATATAATCAGGAACCCCAGTTCGTAACGATATGTTTTATTCAAATTTTCTTTGTTCCAGTGCTATAGCAAGGCCAACAGTGGGCCCGAGAAGAACATCTATATGGGGACTACGCACCAGAGACTGAGATAAGACTGTACATTATAAATATCTGTAAATATTTACACTATAGTCTATATATTTGTAACTAAATAAAGATTATTTAAATCCATTTTTATGATATCGAGGGTAGGAAACAATGTACGCCATCTTTTATTGACTGCCAACCGATAGAGTCCAGTGGACGCACTAACTACCCTCAACTGGGGGGACAACCAGCCCCTCAACTCTGGGGGAACAACCAGCCGCTCAACTCTGGGGGCAAACTAGCAAACGAGTCACCTTACAGAATTAAATAACTTCTCTTGATTATGCAGAAAGAAGAATTATGTATATCTATGATAGAGAAGATGTGTCTATGTTATTTTTTTTTTAATAATCTGAACTGATTTTAAAACTTAAAATCTTTGATTACTAAAGTTCTTTATACGTTAAATAAGTATATATTGAAATTTGCATTGTAAACTTATTAAGACAATGTCAAATTGAAGTTATTGAGGATATAAGGTTATTCAACTATCATTTTATTAAAAATTAATAAATTCATGATAAATAAAATAGTTGAAGAAGAAATAAACCAACACCGAACCCCTTTTAAGAGGGTTGTAAAGAAAAAAAGTTGATGTTAGCAACCCTATATGCTGGATAGTAGAGCTATGCTATGCGCACTCTGAGTGTAAGAAGAAAGGGGGTCCTCCGGTGACTTCCGACCTGGATTTTCAGAGGCTACCAGGTCATGGCAAATTCAGTGGCTCCAGTATAGTATATTTAATAAGAATTTTTGAAGTACTTGAAAAATAGGGTTGCCAATTATTATTTTTAATTATATGAATGAAAATGTAGAAGCCTGTTACCTATTTATTTGATAGTTTCGTTATAGCTATAAATACCATTGATCTATCAATTGATAATATTATATTTTGTACTAGTTGTATATATATTTAATTTAATGGTGAAAGCGGCGGAATTAATTTTACATAACTATACAACACCTTAAGAATGGCGATTTTCGCTATAAATATTCTTGTTGGGATAGAAAAGTAATACCTTTTATGATAGTTGTGAAACCGAGAGTTGATCGAACTTTTATTACGAGAATTGGCGTTCTGGTGTAAGCTACAATTAAAAAGCTTTTTAAAAAACAAATCAATTCTTTTTGACGATCTACTGCACTAATTATTTAGTTTAGTATTATAATAGTATGTAAGTTAAAGAAAAATGTAAAATATTATCGCTAGATTTTTTAATAAATATTTTTTTAAATATGTTATTTCTTTTTTTTTTTCTTTTTATATAAACTTTTAACACAGTACCTTTTTTAATAATAATAATAAATATTTCGGACATCTGAAATGCAACGCCATCTAGTTTCAAACTAAGTAACGCTTGTACTATGAAAGTTAGATTCACTGTTTTTTTGTTATGGACAGCGACTCGCCGCCCATGAACGCCTGCAACTCAGCCTTTTAGGAAGGAGTACGCTCTTTTCTTGAGGGTTTGAAGGTCGTATCGGTCCGGAAATACCGCAGACGTACCCGTTCCACAGATTGGTTGGTGTCTTGAATAGTGCACAGTAGTGGAGCGACAATTTTCCAAGTGGTGGTGGGGATGAAAACTTTGCCGCGTGGAAAGAGGACGCAAGGTTGCACCCGATATTTGTCCGAACAAATAATACTCATGTACTTTTTTGTAAATGCATATATATTATGCATAAAAACACACTCAAACTGAAACAAATATTTGAAGATTATACAAACTTGGTCCGACCCGGAAATCGAATCCGAGACCTCAGCGCAGCAGTCGCATACGCTACCACTGCACCACCGAGGCAGTCAATTAGAACCTTTTGCTGCAATAGCTTACAATAAGCTAGTCGACTTAATTTGAAAACTTGGTTAATTATTTACTTTAATATCAATTCTATAGCAAAAAACCTATATTTCAAAGAAAAAGCAATACATTACTTTAGTTATTTTGTATTAAAAAAAAACAATTAAAATTGAAAACGCAGAATAGTGTCATCGCGTCTTGAATGACGTCACAGTCTGCGAAACAAAACTGTTTACATCTACCGTAGATATACGTATACAGCCGAAGATAAACCAGCCAAGCAGGAGCGCCTCCACGGCGCCAAAGCCAGTAAATTGAGCCTTCAGCCACTCATTTCCGCCTTTAAATCACACGTTCAAGATCCGCCCTCATGCTCTGCTCCTGGTCCACCATATTCTGGACCGTATGCCGTTGACTGGACAACCCTGGTCTATTACTAACTTCGAGAATCTCCACTACAGCTGCAGTTTTGTGTACACTTATTATACTAGCCTGAATCTTTAAGAAGTAGTGGCAATTACGTAATATAAATCCTAGATGACAACCAAAGATGATAACTATGAATTAAGGGATTGTTTAGTAAGTATTTCAGTAGTTCAGTGAGTGTCTGAAAATATGCACATACACAATATAAGCAATTCCTTTATTTTAGGCACATTTTTTTTGTTATAATATTCTGTGCGCACGCCCCTTTGTAACCTCGCGCCCCTAGCCAAGTGCCTACTTTCCCTTAGGGTTAATTCGCCACTGATCTCCCCTTTTTTTTCCGTGCGGAAATCCCCTCGGATACCACCTGTCGATGGCATGTCGGACTCGAACCGACTAAAACCGCACGCCGTCTCGGGTACTAATAGGGGAACCAGGTATACCCTAGAAAGGAAGTCCCTGGTGCACCACTGATCTCCCCTGTGACTAATTTACAAAACCACTGCGATTTTTATTACGCTAGCGCCAAACTCGCAAAAGATAGATCTAAAAAAGAAATGTCGTCAAAATCTTTGATAAAAAAAAATTGATTGATTTTGTTGGCATTGATATTTGTCTATGACCAAATTACAATCACTTACTAAAGCCAAACATATTATCATATGATTATGATTTAAAAGTAGCAATAATATCCTGTCTACTGGCCAGACGAGTTGCAAAAATGATTATTTTGTTATATTATTTTATTATTACGTTTGTACGCTCTGGGTATTTTGATATGCAATCAGTTTTAATATGAAAATAATATATTTTCGGAAGCAACTTTTTTGTTGATATTTTAACAGTTGAAGTATATTTTCGAATTATTTCTAAGTAGTGCTAGTTTTGTTAGGTAAACAATTGTTTTTTTTTTGCAGTGAAATAATTTGATGTAAAAATTATTTAATTCGTGAATATAAATTGATGGGTGATAAGTTCTTTGATATGCATTTAAAAATATTCCACAGTGATGTGCCTCAGACATGGGGTACGGCAGGGAGGACTCCAGAAGCCGCCGATGCGTTCCTGGAGCTCCTCCTGACTGCCGAGGTAGGCCGCCGCGGGGTTTAGTGGGTAAACCGGTTCTCCCGGAGTCCCACACACGCCCTGCGTTTCCCCAAGGGAGGGTATGATGCGAAAGGCATTCCCCGCGTTAAAAATAAGGTATTTAATAATTTGCTATAATGCATTTTATATGATAGCAGAGTAGTGGTGATTCTAGTAAATTGTAACTAGAACAAATTACTATTTAGTTGGTTGGGAGTCTGTTTCACCTAAATAATATAATATTTCCTCATTTAAAACTATATAGTTCGGGGTTATTTCACATAAAAATACAAGTAGAACGTGGCTTTAAACTCGAATCGCTAAAAAAGGGAATTTCTTGAAAAATGTTAGAATTAGTGATGTGCCGGATCGTTAACAAAGTATATCCGCGGATACGGATCCGAATACGGATATTTGGTGTCAAGATCCGCGGATACGGATACGGATACGGATCTTAAGTTTCTTACTCAATGACCCGTGACCTTGATAGTTGTCGCCACTTGACGCTTTGCCGTTGATATTTAAATATTTCATTATTTTAATAAGCTAATACAAAAATGTTTGATTGATCTCATTATAAAGATAGCCCTTTAGTACCTACGACCTGCCTAGTTGATTTAGTATAGTACGATAAATGATTGCAATACAAAGGTGCCAAATATTTGTTTTAAGAAATAAAAAGTAATCTGAACAGAATTCAATAGTTTTTCATAGCTACCTAATAACCATTATTCAGGATTATTTTAAATTTACTGAAAACCTCTGAAGTGCATATTAGTAACATTATAAACAACAACTTTTCTTCTGGACTAACACCGAAAACGAAAGAAAAAAAATTGTTTCTCCATACAAACTAACAACATTTGATTAGTCATTTGAATGGAGGACCAATTTTTTTTTCATTTTGACGTTGGCCAGAAAAAAAGTTGCTGTTTATAGTGTTACAAACACATACCTAAGAGTTTTTACAGTGAATACAAAATCACCTATATAGAATTTCGTCTATGTAATATGTATTGAAAGATCCGCCAAAAAAGTCACGGATACGGATACGGTTACGGATCTCTCTTCTCCCTTGGATATCCGCCGATACGGATACGGATACGGATATCCGGCACATCACTAGTTAGAATGAGGCATCTTAGTTTAGCGTTGATAACCTTTCTCAAGAATAAGACTATCAAATGACATAAACAGAATGCTCTTTAAACTTTATTAGATGTTGATTTGATATTATCCACTGTTAACATGGATCGATACATAGTACGGGTCTGAAAAATTAAACCAATAGATTCCAAAACGGTACATTTAATCAGTCGAAAATGGTTTATTTTATACCCGAGAATGATAATAGTCAAGCATTTATTAACAGGAACTCATAACGATTGTATACAACAGCCATTCAAATGAATAACAGTATTATTAGTAATAAATATAAGTGAACCTTAGATCAGTGGTGTTAGTTTAAAAAATAATGGCGGGAATTTTTGACAGTTCTCTATGAATCCACAACTTTAATTTGAAAAAAAATTAAAGTCATCGATTTCAGATTTGTTTATTTAAGAATTCTGCCCAATTTAAAAAGTAATTACCATAATTATTGTAAATTCATTTCAATTTCTGAATGTAAAATACAATACTTACATTCTATATTTTTATTAGTCAATGACAAATACTACCTACTTT